CCCAGCACCCCTTTGGGAGAGTGGGATGAATTAGTCTTCATTGCGTGTGTGTACCTTCAAGTTGCCTATTGACTTACAAATTTTGTGAGGTTTTCTTAAGCAAGGAATACTCAGAGGTGGTTTTACCAGTTCTTTCCTCTGAAATGGAGCCTATAGCACATGGTATTTGTTAGTGGTCTCTCACCCAAGTACTAATCAGAGCTGACCATGCTTAGCTTCCAAGATCACATGGGATCTGGTGCCTTTAGGGTACTTAGGTAGACCCTCAGCATTCAGTATAAGGGAACAAACTAGGATTTTATTGTAAGTCACACAACTATAACTCTTTGAGAGAACTGTAATTTAGGTAATTCACATAAATTAAATGAAAGTTACACTGGAGTTCTACATTACTAGATATGGTCCATGTGTGGTATTTCAGGTAAACTTCTGCATTTCCTCTCATTTTTGCAGTTTCTGGTCAGCCAATCAGAGATGTGAAGTAAAGGATCATAGGTCCAAAACACACTGCAGAAAGAATCCAGTTTGAGACAGCTTTAACCAGGGCTGGGGAGTATGGTGATTTTGGGGTTACTCCTTGTCCTATTCCAGAGTAAGATATTTTTTTCTTAATGTTACCCCTACTCCTATAAAAAACCTCTTACTCCTTTACTCCTACTCCTTCTCCCCAGCCCTGGCTTTAACTGCCTTGGCTCAATGCTGGGGAATTCTGGGAGCTGTAGTTTTGTGAGAGATTTAGCCTTCTTTGTCAGAGTGCTCTGATGCCACAATAAATTACAATTCCCAGGATTTCCTAACACTGAGCCAGGGCAGTTAAAGTGGTCTCAAACTGGATTATTTCTGCAATGTTTTGGACCCTAGTCTCTGTCAGGAAAGGTCCACAGAAGCAGAGTTTATTTTCAAATGTGTATTCTCATTTTACCAAAGAGGAGCTTAAAACTATGAAGTTCTGCCATCTGCCAGTATACTAGCAGCCAGTATACTATAACTCTGGGATTGTGATTGATAAGTGCTATAAGTAGCAGTTGTGTAAATTGAGAATTTTTAAAAACTGCAACTATAATTGCTTCATATGCAAACCTTGTTTTTTTGTTTTCTGTGGTGTTTCATCTTGATGGAGAAGTTGACATTGACAAAAATCCTAATCATAAATGGAGGCATTTTTGAAGTCTATTTAGTTAGACAAGATATCCTATATTGGCAACTGCGAATAATTCCTGAGAATTGTCCAGAAAAATGAGATTTGCAGAATAATGTGATGGCCTTAGAAATTGTAATATTCAAGAACATCAACTACTACATTGGGAATTTTCTCCTTCCTCTTTCAACTGCTATATACTTGTTGTTGTTACCTGTCCTCAAATCAACTTCAACTTAAAGCTACCCTATGAATTAGAGACCTTCAAGTCACCGTGTAACAGCCCTGCTCAATTCCTGCAAATTCAGGGCTATGACTTCCTTGATTGAGTCAATCAACTTGTAATGCGGTCTTTTTTCCTACTGCCTTCTACGTTGCTCAGCATATTGACTTTTCTTATTATATACTGCTGCATATACTTTAGTCCTTTAAAACAGGGGTAAGCAACCTTTCCCCTTTAAGGGCCGAGGGACTTCAGCTCCCAGAATCCCAGGAGCTATTGGCCAACATGGGACTATTGGCCAACATGGCTGAGGCTTCTGGGAGCTGAAGTCCCTTGGCCCTTAAAGGGGAAAGGTTGCCTACTCCTGCTTTAAAATCACGGAGATATCAACAGATGCTAAAATACGTAAGTACTGGGAAACTGGTTGCACAGTAATACCCCTTGTGGAAGTCTTACAGCTCACAGGTTTATATAGTCAGCCTTCCATTTTTGTGGGGAATCTGTTCCGGACCCCTCCCCCCCGGACGAAAACAGAGACTTGCCAATATTCAATCACCATAAGTTTGAATGGGCTGCGCCCCAGCGAGAGTGCACCCCATTGATTTTAAAAGAGATCACCCCTCTGTAAATATTCAAAACTGTGGACCTCAAGTCCGTGAGAATGAAGGGGCGACTGTACTGTATTATATCCATGCCTTCTTTATAAAAAACCCCAATTACTTTACTTTCTATCTTCTTTGGCATTTATGCATAAAACGTTGTTTTGTGAAATAGATAGGAACAGGAAGCCTGCAAGCCTTGTTATCTGATGGACCTCCCTCTCTTTTTGGCCTCTAGACCTATCGTATTTGGCATATGAGGAACTGTTGTGGGCTTCAATACATAATGTGACTAGGCATTCATCCAGGGCAGCCAATGGCCAAGTAATTGTCCCAAGAACTGAGTATAAGGCACTTGTTGTACTTCATCTCCAAACAATGCCACTTATTTGGGTTTAGATTTTTGTGGGTTTTTCGGGCTGTGAGGCCATGTTCTAGAAGAGGTGTGTGGGGTATATATACTGTGTGACCCTTGGTTGAGAGGATTAGCATGTAAATCTGTGTATTGTTCTGTTTAGGCAAGGTCTCAGGGTGGGGGGATATGCAAGGAATATTAGTATCAATTTAATTAGTGTCTATTTACAATGGACCATTAATTAAATAGACACTAATTCTCCTCGCATATCCTCCCACCCTGGGGCCTTGCCTCAACAGAACAATGCACAGATTTACATGCTAATCCTCTCAACCAAGGGTCACACAGCATATATACCCCACACACCTCCATGCCACCATTTTCTGAAGATGCCAGCCACAGATGCAGGCGAAACATCAGGAATACATTTTTCTAGAATACAGCTTCACAGCCTGAAAAACCCACAAAACCTTATGGATGCCAGCCGTGAAAGCCTTCTTTAAGCTAAGCTATAATTATTTCACAGAAGGAAAACTGATATGGCTTAAAGGCAAGTTACTTGCCCAAAGAATCTAAGCATAAGATAAAATTTGGTCTGAGTTCCAAATGCTAAATCACATTGATTCACACAAAGCACTATCAAATATCCATGTCACAAGAGGAAGATCAATGATAAAAAGAAGCATCCTTTCTTAACCCACAAACGAACATACACACCAGCCTGCATACCTAATCCCAACTCTCAAAACACACATACACATACAGAGCAAAACAAATATGGTGTTCTCTGTCCAGTGCTTAATGCTTATCAGATAGCCTCAGAATTAGAGATGTGAAGGCCTGGGGGGGGGGGGGGAAGGAAAGAAAATAAAATAGGTTTTTCTTCTTTTTTATGATTAATAAACTATATAAGATAAAGTTTTCTATATTCCCACACGCATATTATTTTTAAAAAATATGTAGGAGGTAGACTTTTATGTAAGACCCTTCCTTCTCCAGAGAATGGAGCTGAGTGGTGTTCCAAATACTCAGGACTAATTTTTCAAAAAGTACATTTAAAAAATGGGAAAGGGAGCTCAGTGAGTATGCAGGGAGATATCTGGGTCACTGGGGCACCTGGAAGTGCAGTGTGGCCAATCCAATGATTATGGCATAAAATCAGAGCTACATCGTACCTGCCTTTTCTCTGCAACATTTGCTCAGTTATCTAGCTACAAAGCCACAAGGACTGTGTATATTATTGCATGCTCATTTATCCCATGGACGGATAATTAAACTTAATTTAAGAAAAAAAGCTTGAACACTTGTGATGTCTTAATTGTATTATAGAAAATAAGGTACAAATAATAGTAAATCAACTGAATGACTCAGTCTTAGGACTTAGGAAAATTGGGGGTTTAAAGAGTCATTATCCTGTGAAAGTCATGCGATTGCAATAAAGATTTTCACATGATGTCATGATTAAAGAGGGCTTATCTTGGGAATAACCAGCAACAAATCATTCACTGAGAAATCTCTCATGGCGCAGTGGATAAATGCCTGTTCTGCAGCAGCTTACTCACAAACCATAAGGTTGTGAGTTCAGTACCAGCCAGGGGCTC